ACCATTAGAGCTATCCAAAAGTGTAACAGGTTACCTCAGAAGGCAGTGAATCTCCACTCACTGGAAGACTTCAGGTTGGCTGTATACTTTTTTGTGCCTGTTGTAGAAAAGATTTTTGTTCACAGACAATTTAGACCAGCTGGTTTCTGAGATTCCTTTCAATTTGGAGAATCTAAGATTCTGAGTCCCCCTTCTTCCGCCAGAACTGAAGGCACTACTCCATATGTGGTCTGACCAGCACAAAGTATAGTAGCACTATCATTTCCTTTGTCAATTTTCTGGCAGGCAGACCACACTTTTGATCTTATCCTGCTTGTAATGGACAAATCCAAAAAAGGTTTTTTTGTTGTCTCATGGCATGCTGAGATCAAATCTCTGACTCTATTTTTACAGGTTACTCGTATTCCCTCTTCTTTATTCCTACAAAAGTACTCTATACTTTTAGACTACTGAATTTGGGGACTTTCTACTGTAGATATCTGTAAAGAACCATCTTATCTCCTATACTAGACTGCACAGCTTTGAATTCCACACTGTGTCTAGGTCAGTGCTTTCCACATAGGAAATGTTCAATAATTGTTGATTGAAGGGCTTCCTGAATAAAATCAATTTTTTAAAAACTCAGTTGCTGAATTCAGCTATTTCTATCAAATGGCCCAAAGGATGTAGCTACATGAAATTCCTAAAATGGTAATTTAAAAAAATTTCCTACAGGTCTAAATCATTGCCAGTCCCTAAAAGGTAGACTCTGAAAAGTAACTGTGAACATTAAAATATTTAGTGATGATTTTCTAACAAATCAGTAATTTAGAAATATTATTATTAAATTATGTTCCCCATATCATTAAAATTTCAGTTCCTGTAGTTGTTAAAATATGCTACCATTTTGACACCAAAATTGGGTACTATGTAACACATACCTAAGGTTAAAACTAAATTCTCAAAATCTGTGCCATGCAATGGAATTCATGTATTTTTAAAAAATACTTTCATTTTTAAAAATAAGTGAAATTATTTGAATAGATAAATCTCATTTCTAGCAGACTTGTAGGAAATAGAACTGACAAAATATCTGGACTGATACAACTATGGTTATTAAATTAAAATTATGATTATTAAAATAAAAATAGAAGTTTTTATATTGACATTGAAGAGGTACATACTTATGTATATCCTTTTGGAGACCAATAGAATTCTTAAATAAGCTGCAAAGTACTATGCAAGAGTATTAATACCTAGAGCTTTTAAATAAAATGAAATTTCAGCAACTATGGGTAAAATTAAAATCAAAAGTAAGAATAGTCAGTTATATGACTCAAATCTACCAGAATAATCTTTACTGATACAAACACAAATAAAGGGCTGACAGTAGCTTAACATCTGTCAGGTTTTAAAAATATATAGTTATGGCTTTAACGGATACTTTTTCATGAATCATGAAATTAATCAACTGGATTTTTTATGAATTGGTATAAACAAGTCAGTACACTAAGTTCACTGCCAGCCACTGTTCTCTTTAATCAGTTACCTAAATAATTTGCATTTAAAATACGTATATTTTAGAAACTAATCTCTAAAGACAAAATCAAAATTGGCTGAAAATATTTTCAAAATTTCTCCTCTTCTCCTATCTTCCCTATTACTGTAGAGTGCAACACTATCCTCCCCAGTCCCTCAGGCCTACAACATAGGAGTCATCCTGGAATTTTCACTTTCTCTAACTCTTCATAGCCAATCTGTTGCTAAAGTCTGTCAATTTCACCTCTGCAACATTTCCCCAATATGCCCCCTTTTCTCCTTTGACACTGCTACCACACTGGTAGGTGACCCCCATCACCTTACACTTGGATTACTGCAACTGGAGGCTGGAGGATCTGCCTGCCTCAAGTTTATCCCCTTGCTAATCCATCCTCCAGTTAGTCACTAATCCATCCTCCAGTCAGTCGCTAATCCATCCTCCAGTCAGTCACCAGGGGGATTTTCCTAAAGTGCAGGTATGATCATGTAAACCCCTATCTCCACCCCCTGCCCCAATAAACTCCAGTGGCTTCCTACTGCCCCCAGGATCAAATACAAAATGTTCAGGTTGGCATACAAAGCCCTTCATAACCTAGCTCCCCTCCTACCTTTCCAGTCTTCCTTTTCCTTACTCCCTGTTATATACTCTTAGATCCGGTGACGCTGGCCTCTTGCCTGTTACACAAACAAGACACCTCCATCTCTTGGCTCTGGGCATTTTCTCCAGCTGTCCCCCAAGCCTGCAACATCCTCCCTTTTCCACACCACCATCTGGATTCCTTCTAGTCTCAAATAAATTCCATTTTCATAGGAAGCCTATCCCAACCCCTCTTAATTCTAGTGCTTCCCTTCTGTTAATTATTTCCTATTTATCTTTCTATATATCTTGCCTTACTTTGTATATATTTGTTTGCATATTGTTTTCCCCATTAGACTGTAAGCTCCTTGCAGGGACTATCATTTCCCTCTTTTTGTATCCCTGGTGTTTAGCACAGTGCCTGGCACATAGCAGGTACCTGATAAATACTTATTAAATCTACCCTTATGTCTGAAATTAAGCCTTAATCTTAACCGTTAAAAAAATTATGCGACTACACAAGGTTACTCAAGGTTTAATATGGAATAGCAAAGGTACAGCCACAAAAAAACTGAATTAAGTCAGCTCATAAGGGTGGAAAAAACTTAGAAAGTCAGCAAATGTTCTTGCTATCACTGAAAAAAAATAATATAAAAGTTTCTAATGTACCAACATTAAGCACAATTTCAACCCAACCTTTAAGAGTAAGTTAATAATAAAAAAAAGAGTAAAGTAAATTTGAAGAGAATTAAAAAAAATTCTATTCAACTTAAGGGTCAACCTACCTAAACAGTAACCACAAGGAAAATAATACCTGCCCTGTCTACCTCTAAACTTTAGCAATACCCAGGATAATGCCTGGCATTTTTTTTTTTGCCAGAGGTAGCAAGAAAATTTATTGGAGGGATAGTGGAAGCATAGTAGCTCCAGGCCACTGATAATTTTCATCAGTGTGAAGAAAATTTCAGTGTGTAAACTCCTTTCATTAGTGCAGATCACCAATTCCTACATAATTTAGTCTCAGGGAGTTGTGGAGGGTGCCAAGAGGTTTGAGTTACCCTTTGTTAATCATCTCCAATTTATCTTGTATCTATCTTGTTCGTACATAGTCATGCTCATGTTGTCTCCCCCATTAGACTGTGAACTCCTTGAGATCAGGGTTTCTTTTTTGACTTCCTTTGAATTCCCAGAGCATAGTACAATGCCTGGTACATAAAGCTGCTTATTGATTTGGACGATCATCTATAGCCAGACCTGAACCCAAGTCTATCTGACCTAAAGGCTAGTACTCTATTTCACCATGTTACTTCTTGCTTGGCACACAGAAGAGGACTGTTTGTTAAAATAAATTTGGCACACATAGAATCATTCAAAGACAACAGTGGTATTTAGTTTGCTTGAAGTCTAATAATGAAAAGAACAGATTATTGGAATCTAGCTATACCTCATCTTTACCATTTGTACTAATTTATCTTTTATGAGGGAATTGCTGTTCTGTGGGTAGCTACATGGTATAGAAGCAGGTAGGAAGCCCAATGGATAGAGCACTGGTGGACTACATCATGAAGACTTGAGTTCAAATCTGGCCTCAGACACTTATTAGCCATGTAACTATGGGCAAGTCATGTGTATCTATTTGCCTCAGTTTCCTCAACAGTAAAAAGGTAAGGATCAAATGAGGTATCTGTAAAGCATTTAGCACAGTGTCGGTCACAAAGTACATACTTCTTAACAGGTGCTAATTTCCTTCCTTAAAATAGGAAGCTGTGAAATCTCATCTAGAGGTCTTTAAAGTTAAACAAACTCATTTGTTAGAAAATACTAGCATGGCCCTATCTAAATGGCAGAGAGATAGCCTGTCCAAAAATCTATTCATTCACTCACTCATGAATAAAGATGCATGAATATTCATCAAACATATGCAGAGCACTTCTTACATGTAAGGGGCAGTGGAGAAAAAGATGCAGTCTTTGCCCTCAGGAGCTAACAATCTATGAGAGGCAATGATATACATACACGCATATGTGTATGTGGACACACACACACACACACACACACACAGCCAGGAAGATGTTTTGGTGTGAATATTTTATTATTGATTAGAATTTTGTAGCCACTTGCCTTTTACATTAAAATAATTAACAGTACTTTGACATTTGATGAATCAAAAAGTTCACTTAAAGAAACAGATACTTCTACCATGCAAGAGAAATTCATTATTTTAAAACATGCTGAAGGATAATTGAAGTAACTATTTGATATTATGAAGAGAATCCTGTTAGTGTATAATTCATTCTTCTGTGGTTTAATTTTGTTAGATTACTGTAGTAATTTTACTCCCACACATTTTTCTAACTTTCACCTTTTCAACAATGAGGTCTTAGGTAGAAGTGACCCGATTTAAGAAATAATTGGTGGCTGTCATGTAATTTTCTTAGAAAGAGCCATAATTTGTAAAGTTCACTAAGAGCATGTTTACCTCAAGCAGCTTAAAGAATTATAAATACTTTAGTTTTAACTATGACTTACATTAAGAACATCTTACTAGTTGTATAGATAACAAAATGAAGCTGTCACTTACATCTATCGATTATACATAAACAATGAATGAGAATTACAAAAAGTATAATTCAGATAATAAATTATTTAATGATACACTAATCATTTTAGGGTACTTAAGGACGACTTATAAGCCATTAAAAATACCAAAAGAATTCACCAAATCCCACGATACCTTCTGTTTGTGCTTCTAAACATCTAAAACCAAATAGTAAACCTGAGAAAGGTTTGAAATGAAAAGGAGAGTGATTTAACCATACTGTGCTTTTTCAAACTTTGTCTAGTATCAAGTAATGCTATTTGAGTTCTATTTCCCTTAAACTATTTATAATTTAAAAGTGTTTACCTGTTGGAGTCAAGCAGTCTTTCCAATCAAAATAGCCTGCATAAATTCCAGGTTCTAAGGAGCCAACAATAGGATCTGCTTTCAACTCAATGTAATTTTCAAATAGCCTTTGGTCTAACTCTTTCAATGAAGCCATGCTAACCTATAAATACATAAATTGGGAGAAAATACTTAGGATTTGTCTTCTATTTGGGAAAACAGGAGAGAGCAATGATATTAAATTACATGCTTTAATGTACTTCACAATCAACTTATGTTATTAAAGTAGCATTTTTCTAAGAAAGAGCCATAATTTATAAAGTTCACTAAGAGCATGTTTACCTCAAGCAGCTTAAAGAATTATAATCACTTTAGTTTTAACTATGACTTACATTAAGAACATCCTACTAGTTGTATAGATAAGGAAAGGAAGTATAAATACTAAAGATGGAGGCTACAGTCAAAAAGTCCGGTATTTAGTCAACTTTATCAGTTTCAGTTACATATTTTGTTTTAAAATTAAGACACTTTTAAAAGCACAATAATATAAATATCCTTCTGATGCTTTTACAGTTGCCAATAATATTTCTTGAATATAACAAAGCCATATTAAAAGAAATGAAACTGAAGGAATGAAATTAGATCTCCTCTAGCAGACTGTCTTTTACCTTTCTTTGTAATACCAGCATTTAGTACCATGTCTATCATATGGTAGATGCTTAATAAATTTTTATTGATTAATATGTCAATTAAATATTCTCAATGATTGAATAATTCAACTAAGCTGAATAAGGTACCTTATAATACGATGGTCTCTCAAAAGTGAAATAATATGAGTTACTTTTTAAATAGTCTCAGGATACAATAAATTTCTATTTAGTCACAAAATCCAGGGAATCTCCTGATCTGGTTGAATATTCTATGGCTGACAATAAATATATCATATAATTGTTTTGTCAAGGCTAAATGAACTATAATATAGATAATATAGCACCACACACTAAATGCTAAAGCTATTCTGGAACACAGCTATTTTGTTTTTGAAAACTCAGAAGACATTTTGGGATCTTGCTCTGCCTCATGGTATTCGCTATAAATATTAATTAACAGTATGTAAGATGCAAAAAGTACAGAGGATAGTGTTGACTCTGTCCTGCCCTTCTCAGAAACTCTGCAATTAAAAAAATCTCTAATATCAATTTAAAAAATTTGGTCAAGTTAGTTTGTTCATAAAAACACTTAAAATTTATAATTGCTAAATGGCTACATAGGAAAGGTACACAAAACAATTTTGTTATTTGTGCAAAACGAAAACCTATGTACACAGTAGGGAAAAAGGATTGGCAAATTAATGAATCTGGATCCTGTCTACATTTTTATAATCATCTGATAGCTTAAGTGATATCATGATTATAAATACCATTATATATAATAAGTATTGATGGAGATGAAGTATCTACTTGAATAAAAATGTGGAACATCAGTGTAAAATGTGTAGTTGAATGAGTTAACATATGTACTTTGCAAACCTTGAAGGGCTACATAAATGCTACTTATTGTAATAATAATAATAGTTAATAGTAGTAATATTATAAATAATAGCATTTCACATTACAAGGTACTTTATAATCTGCAAAGTGCTTCCCTCAAAATAACCTGTAAGGTAGGTGGTATATACGAATTCCTATTTTAGAGAAGAAGAAATCAAAGGTTTGAGAAAATTCCAAGATCACAGAATTAAACCGTTAAATGCCTTGCTGAAGGTCCTGCCGATAATTAAAGATAGGATTTTAAATTTGGATATTCTGACTCCAACTCCAGCGTTCTTTCCACCGTATCAGGCAGGTTCACACAATATTAATGACTGGCAGAATCAAGAACATCTTATATGTTATTAGTGCTGATAAAACACTAGTTGTTAAATGCAGAAACAGAGGTGGTTCATTAAATTCTAGTACATCAAAATCAGGGAACACCCTTCTGAAGCTTGAGAAAGGGAAGTCCATACATTTTGAACTGGAAGGGAACTCATGGATTAATTAATCCAATTATCACCCCTTCCTCCATCTCATTTTTCAGATGAGGAGACTGACACCCAAAAAGGTTAAGTGATATGCCCAAAGTCATGGAGGTGGCTCAGCCAGAATCTGAATTCAGATCCTGTGACATTAAGTTCAGAGCTTTTGTGCCATGTTCTTTTTCCAGCAGGTGATGAAAGTTATGGAAAACCATTATCCCAAAAGAAAGCTCAAGAAAATATTAATAGTTTCAAAAAGTTTTAAGCATGTTAACAAACTAAGAGAACTTATTTAATGCTTTATTAGGCAGAGGTGGTGATATGTAGGGTACATTTTACATCATGGAGGATCACATCCTTGTATTATTCTACAACAACTATCAACTACCTGCCTTCCTTTACTCTTTTCACTCCCCTATCCTCCCTAAGTGAGGAATGATAGCTCATATCTATATAGTATTGTTTGGTTTACAAGGCGTTTTAATCACAGTTAAGCCTTGAGGTAGATTGGACAAGCATATCCATTTTATGAATGAAGAAACTACCATATCAAGCTAGTCAGTTTCAAGACCTACCATAAACTGGTCCCACAATATCTATTTAACATTATTTCCAGATAATGGTATTCCAATATACCCAGCATACCCAATATACATCATCTGTTTCCTTCCTGTCTGCTATCTATGTATACCATGGTCCCTCTTGCTGAGGCCTTTATGTATTTTTTACTTCCTAGAATGTTCTTTCTTTCTGGCACAATGCACAAACCAGGTACTGGGGAAGAGAAAAATATAACTAGAACATGCATCTTTGCGTTGGCTAAAAATTTAATAGGGATAAGGAAAAAAAAATATGTATACACACACACACATACACTGATAAACAGAATTTAATTCAATTCAATAAACCTTTATTAAGTGCCTATTATTTACGAGGCATATACAAAATGGAATGTGATAAGGGTACAAGAAGTCACATTAGCTGTGAGACCCTGGACAAGACACCTAATACCTCCAAAACCCATTTTTGCTGTAAATGATACTATATACTATGTGTGTGCACACACACACAATCTATAAATATACCGTGTATATATAGTAAGTATATATATATATATATGTGTGTGCACATACATGTGTATGCATATGTGTGTACACATATATATGCATATATAAATGGTACTATATACTATACTGCAGATTATACCATATACATCATGGGGTTGCTCTGATATAAGGGTTTTGTAAAACACAAAGTGTTCTATATAGAGTGAACTATTACTATGTATATATGTATGTTTTTTCTTTTTCTAAAAGAACCTATGATTTCAATGGTGTAGGTTACAGATCTGTACCTACTCTACAACTCATAGACTTAGAGAGTAGTTCTGAGCACAGGGAGATAAAAGGACATGCTTAAGTCTGAACCATTACCTGCCAAAAGCAGGTCTTAAAACCAGGATTTTCTGGCTCTGAGAACAGCTTTCTACCCACTACACTGAGTGCAGTATCAAACTCAATTCAAAATGGATTCCTGGGGATACATCCTCAGAAAAACACAAATTAATATTATTTATGTTTTATTATATTTTTATTTATTTTGTTAAACATTTCCCAATTACATTTTAATTTGGTTCTGGCTCCATTGGGGGTTCAGGCTTCCTGGTCACAAGTTTGACACCTCTGCACTGCCTCAGGTTGTTCTTTATTATTATGTAGGAATATGAACTGGACTTATGATTTAATCGGTAGGGGGACTCCCAGAAGAGGAAACTCATGAGAGGTGGGGCAGAGTTGCTCAGAGCAGGAGAGAGGAGAGCCCTTCAGTCTTCTTCTAGCACTCTTTGACACAGAAGACAGAAGATGCCAACCAGCGTGTGAAAGCTGGAAGCCAGAAGTGTCAGACTGAAGAGCACTTGAAGAACACTATAAGAGCTCTCCTCTTTCCAGGTTCTTGAAAACTCTGCTCTGCCCCTCACAGAAATCAACATTGATCTCTACCAATATTGAGAGAGTCCCATACCTTGGCTCTGGGATTGGGGTTACACTTATATTGCTGGGAAGGCAACAAGATGTAGTAAGAGCCATGGACAAAAAATCACCCATTTTCATGGCATGGTTGCAATGCATATCTATTCTGACTATGGGTAAGTCAACTGACCTCTTGGGGCCTCAGTTTCTTCATTTATAAAATGGATATGCTTGTCCAATCTACTTCAAGGTTTAGTGTGATTAAAATGCCTTGTAAACAAAACAATACTATGTAGATGTAAGCTATCACTCCTGACTTAAGAGGATGGGGAAGTGAAAAGAGTGAAGGAAACTGATAAAACAAGGAGCTACAAGAACAGAACAAGTAAGAGAAGAAAGGGAACAACAAAGGGTTGAGTCATGCATTTTATGTGCTAGGCAACAAAGTCAATTCCAAAGAAGAGGAATCCTAGTGACTAATAATGTGGGAGATACTAGAAAAATGTACACTTCCATTTTATTATTTTTGCCCACTTGATACAACTTGGCGTAACGGAGAGAGTTCTGGACTTGTAGTCAAGGAAGACTTGAGTTTGAATCCCACCTCAGATACTTGAGTAGTGCTGTAAGCCCGGGTAAATCATCTAACCTTCCAGTCACAGGCTCCTTATCTAAAAATGGGGATAATGACAGCACTAACATTGCAAAGTCATCATGAGAATCAAATGAGATGTGTCAACTGTTTTGCAAGCCTTAAACACCTGTAGCTAATAATACACACATACTGCTGTCTCATTTCACCAAAACAGGTTGCCAATCAATTCAACAGGTATGTAGTAAGAAGCTACAATGTGCAAGACATTATGCGAAGTGCAAGGAATATATAGAGAGAAATGAACAGTTCCTGCCTTCAAGGAAATTCCCTTATAATTTACTTTTCTGTGCCCCAAGACTCAGCTTAAGTCTCATCTCTTCCATGAAGGTATGTCTGACAGTTCCAACCCTCAAAATTCAGGATAACATGGATAGCTCTATTTTTAGGTTAGTTAGCAAAAGACTTCTAACTAGTTTCATTGAGCTTTAGGTTTTATTGATCAGCCTGGAGTTTAATACAGTGGAATGAGCAATGGATTTGGAATCAAAAGGCCTACACTTGAATACTGGTTCTGCTACTTA